GTTGACTGGCGAGCCACTTCCATGAAGTCCCTGGTGTAATCCTCAATGCTCCGGTCTCCCTGGCGGACGTTGAGAAACCTCCCTGCTGGACCCATGTTTGCTGGCTGTATTCTGTCACGGCCCGGTACGAAACACCGAGGAAAAACAGGGTCTGGGTCCACATGCAGGTGAAAACTTCCTTTTAATGAACAGAATGGCCAACAAGGCAAAACAAAACAGATCTAGGCACGACAGATACGAATACATTTACAATACAGCCAGGCAGAGTGGTGAGTGAGAGGAGAAGATATAGTCTGTGACAATGGGGAACAGCTGAGGGTGAGTGTAATGAGTGAATGACTGAACAGGTGTATGGAGTTTGGGGAATTAGTGTAATGAGTGAACAGGTGTATGGGGTTTGGGGAATGGAGTCCGGGAGAAACGTGAGCGGACACCGCCGCTTCTGCAGCTTTCTGAGCGGACGCCGCCGCCTCGGGGGAACTGTGAGCGGACGCCACCACTTCGGGAAGGCCTGAAGCGAGTCCCGCCGCCTCGGAGGGATCATCCGCGGGCTCCGCCGCTTCAGGAAGGCCAGAAGCGAGCCCCGCCGCCTCGGAGGGAACCCCAGTGGGCACCGACGCCTTGGGAGCCTTGCGAGCTGACCACGCCGCTCGCACCGACATCAGCAGGGATTCCTGCACGCTGCGTATCAGCCCGGGACGCTCCGGTAACGGGCGTGAGGTACTGGGTGCGGCAGACGAGGCCTCTGACGCCCCGTGGATTGCCGCTTCGGGAGGACTGTGAGCGGGCTCCGCAGCTAACTCCACCCTGAAGGCGGAGCCGCTCAAATGCAGGGCCAGGTTGATATAGTCCTCCAGCGACTCCTCGGGGACCCAGTAGGGCATCAGGGACTTGAAGGGCTCGGCTAGGTCTCCCCAGAAAAAGACCATGAGGCAGGCCCGGTACGAAACACCGAGGAGAAATCTGGGTCCACATGCAGGTGAAAACTTCCTTTTAATGAACAGAATGGCCAACAAGGCAAAACAAAACAGATCTAGGCCGGAATTAGTGTAATGAGTGAACAGGTGTATGGGGTTTGGAGTCCGGGAGATGGCGCCCTCTGGAGGAGAGAGGGAGAAACGCAGGGCCCAGACTCATGACAAAAGCATTTACATGCTTGTCAAATTGGAGCAGAGGATCAAGATAAACTGCTAAATTTTTTGCATTACTGTGTAGGTTGTTACTTAAGGAATTATTGCTCTGCA